TCCGAGGGGCCCAGGTCCCTGTCCTCCGGTGCCCCGGAGCAGGGGTGCAGTGCTTCAGCCAGAACCCCTCCCCCAAAGGCCACTAATTGAAGCCAGGTTTTTGTGGGCCTCCCCTCCCCCTCTGGCCACCAGTCTCTGGGTGGGGGTGGGGCAGCTGCTCGGGCCCCTCAGCCTCAGGTCTTGGGGCGCCTTGGCCCTAGGGATGGAGCTGCACGTTCCTGACCCCAAGCGGAGCCCTCACATTTTAAAACAATAAACCCTGAGTGAGACTGGCTCCAAAAAGAGGTCCTGCTCCAAGCTGGGCGCCCTGGCCTGTCACGTGATGCCGCTGACTGACATCTACAATGTACCGGCCCCGCTATTTCTTGATCTAACATTAGTCCAGGGAGGGCCTTATCCCCATTGTACAGATGTGGAAACCGAGGCTCCGAGAAGTGACATGCCCGGCCTCAGGACACACAGCTGGGAAGTGACCTCCCCCGGGGTATTCTGAGCCGCCTGTCGGGTCAGCCTCTGCCCTGACTGGCTGTGTGTCACTAGGCAGGGCTTTCCCAGTCTTGGGCCTGGGTTTCCTCTTGGGTAAAAATGAGAGGAGTTGGCCTCACCCCACCTCCTAATGGGCTGTGAGTTTCTGAGTCCTGGCAAAAATGAGGACCCAGGGAGGAGGTGGGGGCAGCTGAAGGGTAGAATAATCATTTCAGAGGTGCTCTGGCCAGGGTGACCATTCTACAGATGGGAAACTGAGGCCCAGAGAAGTCGGGGGGCTCGTCAAGCAGGGCCACATAGCCATCTCCTGGCCGGCTGCTCACACGATGCCGCACCTTTCCCGAGGAGACCCAAGAGGTTTTGGGGGGTGAGGGGGACTCTAAGAGTTAAGGGTCTCAACTTTAAGAGCCAGAGGTGGTTTGTGGGGCCTCTTTACTTATCCCATGCCCCTGACCCCAAGTCCCCAAAGGAAAGGAGCCCTTTTTTCTGTCCAACTCACTGTACCGCGTGCATGCGTGCGTGTGTGCGTGCGTGTGTGCGTGTGTGTGTGTGTGTGTCTGGTCCTGGATCTCTCATTGGCCAGAACTCAGGAGATTTCACTCAACAAGGTAAAAAAAAGTTGGTCTTTCCTGGAGAATGAGGGGAGACCGGGAGCCAATTTACACATCAGGCAAGGATAATCATTATTTGTTGACTTGGGGTGGGCACACGTTGGCTGGACCTGGATGTGTGCCGGGGTAGCAATTCCGCCTCTCCTGAAATTCACCTTCCCTGGGGGAGGGCTGCGCCAGGCACTTGGTCCCATCCGGCCCTGACAGCGCACCTCCCCACCCCAACCCCAGTTTACAGATGGGGACAGTGAGGCCCAGAGAGGTCTGGCAGCAGAGCCAGACCCAGATGGAGCCAGGATGTTAATCCTGGCCTTACCGAGCCCATCATTTGGCTGCCTGCAGAGCCTCAGTGCAGAAACTTCACAGCCGTTCCCCCCAGGGAAGGCCCTGGGGACACTACTGTCAGAGGTGTCTGTGGTGAGAAGTTTTAGCCTCCACTGTGAAGGCTCCCTCCCAGGCTTGACTGGAGGCAGAAGGCAGGGAGGTGGTTGGCGAGAGACAGACAAAAGCCCCAAACATCAAAGCTGTCTCCAGAACCGTTGCTAATAAGTCCCAGAGAGGAGAGGGCCCAGGAAGTCTCCTGAAGTTCGGGGAACATCTCAAATCCTGGTTCCAGCTGACAAGTGGGGTTCCAGCCAGAGGGGTGCGAGCCCGCTCCTGGGCCAGCCCCGGGCACATGAGAGTGTGAGGGGTGTGTGTGAGTGAGTGTGTGGACTCTCCGAGTCCTGAAGAAGAAGGGTCAAATCCCAGCTCTGACACCATCTGTGTGTCCTTGGGCAGGTCACTGTCTGTCTCTGAACCTGTTTCCTCATCTAAAAAAACGGAGACAGTGCTGGCGTCCCGGGCTTCTCTGGGCTTGCCGCCACGAGAGGGGCTCAGATGAGTGACTGGTGATGGAAGTACACGGTGACCGGCTCATTTAAAATGAACCCCTGGGTGGCGTTGCCTCGGTTAATGTCCTTGGACTTACATGTTTTTTGCCATCTGAGCCAGTTTGTCCAAATTCATGTCAGTGCAATTGATTTCAATTAATGACACTTTACGGGAGGCCCCAGGTCACTTGGAACAAGCCACTCAGTGGTCCCTCATCATCCCTACCTCATCTGAATCCTTGTGTCACTATGAGGTTGGTACTGTCACCTGTTTTACAGAGCAGGCTCTGAGGTCTGGGAAATTAAGGGGACCTGCAGTCAAGGTGTTGGGCCTCCTCCTCCAGCCCAAGGACTCGCTGTGTGGCCTGGAGCCTGCCCCTTGCCTTCTCTGGGCCTCTGTCACCCCATCTCCATCCCCTGAGCGCAAGCACCTCAGACAGGGGACTTGCAGGCTTTTCAGTCTTGGAACTTCCAGGCCCACCCAGCGTCAGGGTCCTGGGCCCTCTGCTGGGCCGGGATGGGGCTCTCACGGGGCAGCCTGAGGGGCGCAGGGAGGGGTCCCTGGATTTGTCTGAGAGCCCAGGCCGACTCACACAGGCTGGGAGAATCAGTGTTTTAGAAGCCAGGCTCCTCCGTGAAGCTGAGCCATAAGGAATTTATTAGTCAGCCGGGCCGTCTGGGCCAGAGAGGGGCTGGGGGTTCATGTGGGGAGCAGCCTTCCAACAGAGGGAGGGAGGCGCGGGGTGCATCTGGATGCCATCCTGTGGTGGCCACGGGACTCAGTCTCCAGCTTTGTTTCAGGTACGAGGGTTCCCCCGGGGCCTCCAGGCCCTGCTTTGAGCCTTGAGGTGGGGGTTCGCTGTGGGTTCGGGGCCTATGCTCACACAGGCCTCTGCTGAGCTCAGAGAATGTGGACGCTTTGTAACCAATGAATCTTCTGAGGATGGGAATGGGACCACAGGAGGGCAGGGGGCTGCTGGGGAGGGCCCCCCAGAGGAGGGGGGCCAGCTCTCTCAGCTACTCACTCAGATCCTCACTGAGCCCTCCCAGCATCTCTCCCTTGGTGCCTGCATCCAAACCCCAGGCAGCTCTTCCTTAGCAAGGCACTTAACCCCTCTGAGCCTCAGTTTCCTCACCTGGAAAATGGGGAGAATGTACTACCTCCCTGAACAGGCGGATCTCAGGATTCAGTGAGAAAGTCCATGTGAGAAACTGAAAAGAGTACCTGGCACATGGCAAGCAATGAAAGGGTAAGTTATTGGTATTCATTCAGCCAAGTCCGTCAAGATACATTTATTGAGTGCTTGCTGTATACCAGATACGATGCAAAACCCTGAGGGTGCCAAGATAAATAAGATTCAGTCCCTGCCCTCCAGAAGCTCAGAGTGAAGTGTGTGTGGGGGGCGGGTATGAACCCCAAGTACAAACATTCGATGGGGAGGCTCCGGCCCGGGGAAAGGAGGTGAGTTGCTAGAGAATGTTCTGTGTTCCCTGTGCCTCCTTGGGGCCCCCTGAGACCCTGGGCTCCGGCCCTGATGTCCCTCCTGCCTCGCTTCCCCCACAGCTCCTGGCAACATGGTTTCCGCGGTGGCCCCCGGCCTGGCCATGTCTCTGCTGCTGCTCCTGCGGGCCCTGCCCACTGCGCCCAACTCCGTGTCCCTGCAGGCTGCCTTCCTGGAGGACACAGGGGGCAGCGGGGAGGCTGAGGGCTCATCGGCTTCCTCCCCCAGTCTCCCGCCGCCCCGGACCCCGGCCCTCAGCCCCACGTCAGTGGGGCCCACGCCCCCGGAGGGCCCCAAGCCCCCCACCAACTTCCTGGACGGCATCGTGGACTTCTTCCGCCAGTACGTGATGCTCATCACCGTGGTGGGGTCCCTGGCGTTCCTGCTGATGTTCATCGTCTGCGCTGCTGTCATCACCCGCCAGAAGCACAAGGCCTCCGCCTACTACCCCTCATCTTTCCCCAAGAAGAAGTACGTGGACCAGAGTGACCGGGCCGGGGGCCCCGGGCCTTCAGCGAGGTCCCTGACAGGGCTTCCGACGGCCGGCCGGAGGAGGCCCGGGACTCCTCCCAGCAGCTCCAGGCTGACATCCTTGCCGCCACCCAGAACCTCAAGTCTCCGGCCAGGGCTGCCCTGGGCAGTGGAGACGGAGCCAGGGTGATGGAGGGCAAGTCAGAGGAAGAGGAGCCAGGCAGCCAGGAGGAGGACCAGGAAGCCCAGGGATGCGGGGTCCCGGCAGAGAAACCAGAGGTGCCCCCGCCGGAGGAGGCCTGCCCAGAGGAGGCGGACGGGGCCCTGGCGGCTGGTGAAAGTCAGGGGCCAGAAGCAGCTTCCTCATTAGCCCAGGAAGCTGGGGGCCCAGCTGGTCCCCCCGAAAGCCCCTGTGCTTGTGGCAGCGTCTCCCCCAGCATCTAACAGGCCTCTCAGGCTGCCGGCCCTGACTGTCGGACCCCTGGAGCTCACCTCCTTGGGCACAGAAAGACCCTTGGTCCTTCCTGCTCTCTGTCACCCCCTCCTTGGCCACTCCCCACTGCAAATCCCAGCGTGTCTGATCCTACGACAGTGGGCAGAGCTGCTGGTCTCTGTCCCATCTCAGGAATCTCACCAACTTCCAGAACGTTTTTCCCTGCAGCCCCCGAGGGGCTCCATCCCAAAGCCCAGCTCCTCTGGGGAGACGGGGCTGGGGACGTGTCCCCGTCACAGCCATGTCCATTGGGAAACATGTCTCAGGTCCCTTGTGACAGTGCAAACATCGCTGCTTGCCATCGAGGTAGGAAAAGAAATACTAGTGTTGGAAGAGACTGAGCTGGAGATGTGGAAAGGCCTGGGGTTGGAGCAGTTCGAGGCACCGTTGAAGGTCGGTCAGGAGGGCGGCCCCTGCACGCGTCATGACAGGTCCCTATATGGGCATTTCCCAAACTGGGTTCCCCAGAAGAAAGCTTGTGAGGTCCAGTGAGCAGAGGAGGTGCTGCTTCTCTGCTCTGGGCGCCCCCCCCCAACTCCTTGCAGCGCCCCGGGGCTCTGACAAGCCCTGCAGTAAAGGCGCCCGTGGACTCTGTTTTCGCTTAGTCTTTTCCAAACTGCTTTTGTCCATGGGGTGCTTTTTTTTTCTTTCTTTTTAACAGCTACAGAAGTTACTGCTCTAAATGTTCCCGAAGGCACCCCCTCCTCAGTTTCTGGTTGGTCCAGGGTTAGGGGGGTGGGGGGTGGGGGTTCAGCGCTCCCAGGAGCCGCCTCTCATCCTGTTACTGCTGCGGGGGTGGGGCAAATGAATTGAATCTTTCTTGCCAGGGCCCCAAAGCAGCTTAGAAGCCGGGAGGGGGGCTGTGTGTGAGAGGGGACCCTACTCTGGGGGAGTCTGAGGGGGTGCGAGAGGGTTTCTGACACCCAGCCCAGAGCAGGGGGGCCCTGGCCCTTCACACACACACAGATGCCTGGTAGCCTGTGCCCACAGTCTTCTTTAGTCTTCGACAAGGGAGCCGGAGCTCCGTCCTGATTTGGGGAGGCTCTGCGGCGGCAGGGAGGGTCCTCCTCCCCATCCCTCCATCTGGGCCCCCCCAGCCTCTGCACAACTCTCCAGGTGCTGAAATGTAACAAACCAGCCCAATAAACCTTTATTCTGGCCCGGGTGTCATTGATTTTCTGAGGTTTGGGGGATGAGGCTGTTGGGAGATGGGGACATTTTCTCTGGGCTCTTCCATGGGGGGCAGATTTCCGGGGGGACACATCAGCCAGACCCTAGGGATTGAATGGCAGTTGGTGTGGGAAAGGTAGGAGGAAGGGGTGGGTGTCCCATGGGTACAAGGGTGGGAGCTTGGGCGCCACCAGCCCTGGGCTCGTGGCCACACCGAGCCAGCTCCACGCGTGGTGGGTGCTGCTACTTACTGTGGCCACAGGAGAGCCCCCCACCTCTTCGTTTCCCCGAGGAAGCATGCACCGTGGAGGGGCTCCAGGCTGGGATTTCAGGGTCCCCTCCCCCTGCAGAGTGGCGGAGGACTGGCATGGGTCTCAGGGACAACACCACACTCACCACACCCTTGGCTGATGGTGCCCGGGGTCGGAGGCAGTCCTAGCCTTTGTTTGCTCACCCACCAGGCTCCTCCTTGCCTCTGATGGCGAGTTCCGGCGGCCTCTGCTCCCCCTCCGTCCGGGAGCTGCCAGCTGGAATCCAGATGTGGCTGGGCTGGGAGCACGTGCTGGATCTCCGGGGTGATGGGGGCAGGGAGGCCACCCCCCCCGCGGCAGCCAGTCTCCTCCGCTGACCCCACCTCCATTCGGAGAGGGCCAGGGTTTGGGTTTCATAACACACAATGGCCTCTGTCTTGCTCAGTGGGGAAAAGCCCTCCCTTGCTCAGCCCAGACAGGCTCCCGCCCAAGAATATAGGGAGAATCGAACACAAACACTGAATACCCAGATGCTTTGGGACTGGGACCAAGTCACTCACCCTCTCCGGATGTGACAGACTCTCTCCTTGTTTCCCCGAGCTCCTGCGAGGTCCTAGGCGCTGGGGTGTGCCTGGGACGTACATTAAGCTGCCCCATGACAGGCAAAAACCAGGTAAGACGGAGACAGACATTGGAGATCCCTGAGGAGCAGGCAGGGTGAGGTTCCCAATCGGCAACAGCCTGGTCAGTGGTGCCCCATTAGCGCCCAACTGGGCCCTCCAGAGGACGGGGAGTGTGTGCCTCAGCCATAGCCTGTGTCCCCAGGGACCAGTGTGGGGGATTAAGGAGGTGGTCTGAGCCCCAGGTCGGGAGTCAAACTCTCCCTTGCCTCTGAGCTTTTACAGCTACTGTTCCCTCTGCCTGTGACGCTCTTCCACCCCCCTCCTTGCCTTGCTAACTCTCTCTCATCTTTTAGTTTGTGGCTTAGATGTCCCCTCCTCCTCGGAGTCTTCCCAGGTGGGCACCGTTATTATTCCCAAGTCACAGAAGGGGAAACTGAGGTCCAGAGAGGTGAAGTCTGGGGCCCAGGTCACACAGCCAGGATTCCATCCCTGCCATCTGATTCCAGAGTCTTTTGAGTTCTCCACTGGGCGCTACTGCTTTTTTGATGAATGAATGAGTGATTGAATGAAGGTAACCCTTGGGGGAGGGGACAGCAGGGCTCCACTACCGCTAAGGCTTAGGGTCCCCCCAGTTTGCTCCCATGTCTGCAATGGAGTTACGCGGGAGGGCCCGTTTATGGGCACACATCTGGCTGGCACCAGCAGGCAGCGAGCCCTGGAGGGAGACCACGGTGGAGGCATGCGTGGCTGGGGCCAAGCAAGGGGGAGAACAGGGCTTAAGGGTGGGGTGAGGGGTTCCAGTGTTCCCAGGGATCTGGGAGTCTGCCAGGGCATGAACAGGCCCCCACTGTCCCAGGGCCTGTAAAAGCATACAGCTGTCCCCAGCCTGGGAGTCTGTCCCATGGCCAGGTCTGCTGCTGTTGTAGATGAGGAGGGGGAGGACGAGGAAACCCAGCCCAAGACAGGAACCTCAGCTCACGGCAGTGTCGTGTGGGGGATGGGGGTACCGAAGAGCCCCCTTTCCCGTGCCCTGCCCTGCTCCGATCACTTGACAGGCTGGGTGGACTCTGGCTGGGGTCACATCCAGGGCAAGAGCAGGAGGGGCTGAGCTCACAGCTCCCCCGCCGCTCTGTGCTGGGCACATCATCGTTAACCCTCCCATGATGCTCAGAGTGGTTTGGGCTCTGGGGCGAGACCACCTGGGTCAATGCCAGCTCTACCCTTTCCTGGCTGTGTGGCCTCGGGTGAATCGCCTCACCTCTCTGGGCTTTTTTTTCCCTGTGTGGAAAGAGAAGACGATCCTACCCCACCTAGCAGGGCTCTCCGCCTGCACAGCGGGATTACCTGGGAGCCTTTAAAAATCCTGACTCCTTTGCCAATGAAATCAGAGTGTCCGAGGGTGTGGCTGGGCACTTGTCACTGCCAAGATGCAAAGTCCACGAGGAGAGGGTCCTGGGGGATGCTTGGCACAGAGCAGGTGCTGGGTGTGCATGTGCACACATGTAAGGCTGAAGGAAGGCGTCTGTACTGCACATCTATGACCACATTCAACCCTCACCACACTCTCCACAGAGAGAGGCGGAATATCATTACCCCATTTTACAGATGAGAAAACTGAGGCTCAGAAAGGTGTAGTGACTTGCCTGAGTCACACAGCTGGTCATAGCTGGGATTTGAACCCAGGACCGTCTGTCTCCTCAGCCTGGACTCTTCAGTGCTGAGCCTCCCACCTCATCTTAGAACTTTGTGGCCCGAAGGTAGAGCCCTTCCACTGATGGCGGGGTGGGGGGATGTGCATTTTGTGTCCACTGCATTTCATCTCAGGTCCCCCTTCCTTGTTCTGACCCCACTCTGCCTCCCGGGGTGATGACAGGGACTGCTCAGAGCTGTTTTGTTCTCATTCATAGACACCTGGAATCATCCAGTCTGTCCCGGGTGGAATTAATGAACCCTCTGGGTTCCAAAGTGGCCCAGGAGCAAGTAGCAGGGTCCTAGACACTCCGTGTTCGGACCAGAACAGTTTAATGAGCACCTACTATTTGTTGCCAGGTTTTCGGGAGAAACTGTTAGCAAAACAGATCTGAGGCTATAGTCTAGCGGAGGAGATGCAACTTAAAGAAACATCCAGCTGCAACCACAGGAATCACCATCATTTGTAAATACACTATTATGCATGTGCCTGGCACTTTGTATTATTTTTTTCAGCTTTGCCGAAGTTATAATCGACACACAATAAGATGCACATATTTAAAGTGTACAATTTGGTAATTTTGGCATATGTGTATAAAGCCATCACCACAATTAAGATAGAGGACCTACCCATCACCCCTCTGTAATCGTTCCTTTCTGTCTCTCTCCATCCCCCGCTCCCAACCCCCAGGCAACCATTGATCTGCCTTCTGTCACTAGGAATCACTTTTATTTTCTGGACTTTTATATAAATGGAACCCTACAGTGTGTACTCTTTTTCGGTCTGGCTTCTTTCACTCAGCATAAATATTATGAGATTTATTCCTGTTATTAAATCTATCAATACTTCACTCCTTTGTACTGCTGAGTAGTATTCCCTGGTAGGGGTAGATGACAATTTTTTTTATCTGTTCACTGACTGGCTTTTGGGTGTTTGGATGGTTGCCAGGGTTTGGCTATTACATGTAAAGTGGATATGAACTACTGATGTTATCTGATCTCTCCCTCACAACCTTCTTAATGAGATGGTTGTGATTTCACCCCATTTGACAGATGAGAAGAATGGAGGCCCAGAGAGGTCAAGTAACTAGTCCAAGGTCACACAGCCAATAGTTGGATCATAGAATCTGAAATAGTGGGAATGTTTGAGCTAAGTGGCTTTAGGGAACCTCTGAAGTTCAGAGAGTCTCTGACAATCCCCATGTTTGATACTTGAACATCTGAAGACCAGACAGGGGCTGGACTCATTCAGAGCTAGGTGAGAATCCGGGTCTCTGGTGGGCAGTCTTGCGCCGAGTCCAGCTCTGCTCTGCTCTGCTCTGTCCTGGTTCTTCCCCTGGTCTGGGGGGAGGGTCTGTCTGGAGTGGGACAGGGATTTGCCATTTTTTTTCAGAAGGTTTTAATTTCAGGATTCCTCTGGCTGCTCAGAAATAGCAGGAAGGATTTGGTGCTGGCTCCAGGGCCGAAGAGGTTCCCCTGCAGCTGCTCCCCGTCCCCAGGCGGGGGTAGGTTTTATGGCGGCAGCTGCAAAGTATAAAATAGCCTGGCTCGTAAACCCGCTCTTTTCAGGGTCCCTGATGCCAGAGGCCTCTGTGATGCTCAGTACTGCATCCCACCATCCGCTGGGGCCCTGCAGGGGTACCTGAGGGTACCCTGGAAGGCCAGAGGGTCTGGGTCTGGGGTGAATACCTGTGGCCTCTCCCTTAGGGTTTGGAGAGCTGGAGGGTGTGGAGAGGGGAGAATGGGACTGGGGATGCACAGGAGTCAATGACTGGGGACAGTTAGGGAGGGGGGATGTAGTGGACATGGAAATAAGGAGCCAGGAGATCCAATGAGGCCCTTCCTAGCTGTGTGACTTGGGCATGTCAGCTTCCTTTGTTGAACTTCGGGCTCCTTACTTGTAAAGCTGCGACCACAGTCCTTGCCCTGTCTCCAGAGTGCTGCGAGGTTAATAGATGTGAATGCATTTTAATAGTGTGTAGGGCCAGATAGCGTGATGGCTAGGGGTTCAGATGATCTGGGTTGGAATCTCAACTCTGCTACCTCCCAGCTGTGTGACCTTGGGCAAATCACTTAACCTCTCTGGGCCTGAGTTTCCTTGTCTGGGAAATGGGGATAATGATGGTACCTACCTTGAGGGTTGGTGGGAGTTGAGTTCATTCACTTTAAGTGCTTAGAACAGGCCCCCCACCTGCTGCCCCTGGGTGCTCAATAAATGTGAGCTTTTGCTTGCTGTAAACTGTGAAGTGTTGGGCCCCACAAAGAGAAAAGAGGGAAACTTCTGTCTCTAAATGTTTGGCTGTTGTGTGAGGCCCTTCTTCTTTCCAGTTCTAGGTTTAGAAGCCTCAGAATCATCAGATCAGTGATTCTTATTGGAACTTCAGAGTGTAAACATCTATTTGTGGGGGGTAGGGCAGAGGGTTCTAG